GAGAAACAATAATGTACAGTATGTGGAAAATAATGTTTTTTTTAACTTTAAACCGCATAAACACATTTCATTACACCAAATACACAAAATAATGTTCTTTTTAGCAGCATCATATGACCCCTTTAAAATACTTCAGTTTTGTATATAATGGCAAATTGATTATATTTATTTTCGTTTTTTTATTAAGTTAATTTAGAAAAACGTTTGGAGCATTTTTGTTCGTTAAATATATGTTTTTGCTTTTTAAAGTAACGACCAAGCAGCCAGCGGCAGACAGTGAGCCTATGTTTGATCAATTTAACCTTCTCAAATCATCAAAACTTGCCTACAATAAAATCTATAGATATAAAATGGTTCAAGCATATAACAATGTTTAAACGTTAAACCTAGATAAATGTGCGCTACATCCAATAGTTTGTGTGGAGAGCGGAAGCTAAAGCGTGCTTTGCAGGACATGGAGACACCAGCCCGATCGCTTGCATTTTTTCAGTGGAAACAACTTAAAATACGGTGTCATTTTTGCTCATAAGAGTAATACATCATTCGGAACTGTAAAGGGTCTACTTTTATTTGCGTGCACTCACAATATCAACAAAACGTTGTGCTTTTATAAAATAAAGAAAACAAACATGATGTGCTTTCTGCTGTCTCGGTCTTGAACAGGGGCGCTTCACAAAAATGAACCGAAACTCAGCGAATACATGCCTCACAGACATGACAAATATATCTATAGAAAGCTTTTAATTACTACTTAACGAAATAAAACAAATCAAAAACTAAAACTTTAATTATATTCATAATCCGTAAAGATGCACTTCTCTCTAAAGGCGCGTCTAATGAGGAGATGGCGAGTCAGGATCGGCAACTTCATCCTTGCGACACGGACTCAGAAAACACTAGTTTATTAGTAAATAATTCAAATATCTCCTTACTATTTTCCCCTGACACATTAATGGTAATTACTTTTGCCGGTGCTTAGCCTATTGCGTGCATTTGAACGCTGAAGGCGTGCTCGCAGCTGCTGCTGGCGGGACACTAAACACCATCGAGCCGCTCTCGACAATCGCAGTAGCACAGCCTCATGTTGTTTCCACCAGCACGGCAATTTTTTTTTCCATCACTAATTGATGGATGTCTAAAATACAAAAATAAGGAGAAGCCTAAAACATGCCCGAGGCCCAGCCCGCATCTGAACTATGATGTAAAAATTGGCCTGAAGCCCTGCCCTAGGGGCGTAAAAAAGTCGGGGCCCATCGGGCCCGGGGCTGAAATGCAGGGCTATATGCTACCATACCTCATATTAGCCAAATACAAAGGCAGCATCTTATGTATCCTTCATGACTACGTAAAACCCAGAATGCATTGCGACAAGAGAAACAGATTATCCAAGTCTTTAGTCAGGTTAGATGAATGCGGATGAAACTGAGACTGTGATGGATAGACTTACAAGCTTTACAATGGCACACACTGTATAAAGGTCCTAGATTATGTAATTGTCACAGTTCACACTTTCTAACCCTTTCATGCACTTCAGTGGACAGATATTTAGAAGCCATTTTGAACCATTTAAGTTGTAGCACCAGGTCCCAACCACCAAAGTGTTGTCTACGATTCCATTTAATTATTGTCTTTGAATCTCTTTTTTTCTTTTCTTTTGAGATATTGCATAATATATTCAAAAAGGCAATGGAAAGAGGAGATGCACCAAGTACCTCAGGAATAAGTGTTAAATCCTTTTATTCTCAGAAAATCAGACGGGTACAAAAAATATTTTTCAGCTAAATAGGATGTCATTATTTTGAGATTTTATCAATATTTTTCTTATACATTTTTTCTGTAACAGAAAATATATCTGTCCACTACAGTGGGCATAATGCACCAAAGGGTATAATTCTGCCTATGGACCCGTATATAGATTCTGACTTATTTTGTATGTTTTATTAAAATTATGATATAACTTATACTTGAATATTTTTATTGAACAGAAATAATAGTCTTCAGATTTTATCATTTACTTCAATGATTAGTGTCTATATTTATTTATTAGATACAGAGCCTAAATTATGAAAATTGTGTCAGTGTCCAAATATGGACTTGACTGTATATTATATATATATATATATATATATATTACAATTTATTTACCCAAAAATTACAATTCTGCCATCATTTACTCAATTTCTTTCAGCTATTGAACACAAAAGTAAATATTTTGAAGAATGTGGATAACCAAACAGTTGACGGTAACCATTGACTTCCATAGTACAGAAAAAAAATACAGAAGTCAATGGCTACTGTAAACTTTTTAGTTACCAACATTCTTCAAAATATTTACTTTTGTGTTCAACAGAAGAAAAAAAACTTGTACACTTTTGGGGTGAACTATCCCTTAAAATGATTATTATTATTATATTACATTCAAGTTAAGACATATTGTGGATAGGGTGCTACCTTAGAAGGAAGCCTACACCCCAGAGTTTAGAACAGAGTCTTTGAGTCCGTACTGGAAATACATTTGACATTCTCTTTTTAATGGCCGCCAGGCTCAGTTTTATGGCAAATGAAGTTGTATTCACCGTGATCACATTTCCTGACGCCTCTTTAGGGGCCGTTCGCTAGACCATATTTAAGCCTGTATTAGCAGTTACCATGATGTCTCATCTCTCGGCCCTGAGCTCAAAAAGATCAGCTTACTGGAAAAAGTCTCCACTCAACGGCATGAGGTACAGTTCTCCATTATATCTCACTCACTTATGTAACCGAGATCTTGGCTTGAGGGAGGCTCGGTGGCTTCCATCTAAAATAGTCTCTTTGAGATGAGCGTGTGTCTGTGTGTCAAACAATGAATGCTAGATCAGGTGACACCTGTCGAGTGTGTGTCTGTGTCAGTGTTTGACCTGGTCCTCCGTGACGACTCCTCTGCCGTCAGCGTGTGTGAGAGGACAGCACAGCGGCATGCTCTGACACAGATGACCCAGCAACATGGACACCTCTTTCATGGTCCTCCAGCAACACACCAGCACCATCTGAGCGGTGACTCGATAGGCCTCTCCATCACCGCCACCTAGACAACACAAATACACACACACACACACCCCCCCAAATAAACACTCGCACTTTTTTCTACTCAAATGTCGGCCTCTCATGGACAGAACATGTATTACAGCAACACCAGCCTGCATTTGAAATCAATTCTGGTTCAAATATGAGTGCAGTTACTATAGACATAATACTAGAGAATTTATGACGTGTCTGAATGTATGAAAACTAGTTTTTTTTTATTAGGTTTTTTGATACAGATGCTATGGGAGGGGTGCTTGAACTGTATTTAGTGAAGGGCGATCGTGTTCGTACCGCTGTTACAGGATTGTGGTTTATGAACTGCATTCTCTGGCTCTTTCTGTTCGCCGTTACAGTCGCTCTCACTGGGGTCCAGCTCTCTTGCACTAGTGAAAAAATCGTTTGTGTCACGAGGTTGAATCTCCTGCAGGATCTTCTGGAGGCCAGCAGAGGACTCTGTGGAGAGAAGAACAATATGTACTGTTATCACATATATGCATTTGACAGATTTAAAAAGTGAATAAACACTCGCACTTTTTTCTACTCAAATGTCGGCCTCTCATGGACAGAACATGTATTACAGCAACACCAGCCTGCATTTGAAATCAATTCTGGTTCAAATATGAGTGCAGTTACTATAGACATAATACTAGAGAATTTATGATGTGTCTGAATGTATGAAAACTAGTTTTTTTTTATTCGTTTTTTTGATACAGATGCTATGGGAGAGGTGCTTGAACTGTATTTAGTGAAGGGCGATCGTGTTCGTACCGCTGTTACAGGATTGTGGTTTATGAACTGCATTCTCTGGCTCTTTCTGTTCGCCGTTACAGTCACTCTCACTGGGGTCCAGCTCTCTTGCACTAGTGAAAAAATCGTTTGTGTCACGAGGTTGAATCTCCTGCAGGATCTTCTGGAGGCCAGCAGAGGACTCTGTGGAGAGAAGAACAATATGTACTGTTATCACATATATGCATTTGACAGATTTAAAAAGTGGAACATACTGTCCTGAATTATTTGTCCTTAAATAATTCTGCACAATTAAAAATATACAAAAATAAAGTTAAAATAGTGATATAGCTTAGAGCAATTATCATATTTATAGGTTGAAAGTGAACATTTTAAGACATACCATGTACTAGTATTGCAACTTGCACTGTAAAATAAAAATTTTACAACATTACAACTATATATTTACAAACAATATTTCAGTCTTATTATTATTATTATATAGCATATTGTTAATAATATTAATTCTTATGAATACGTTTACTGAAATATTAACTTAAAATCTCGGCGGGTACTTCAAGTAAATATTTTTACATACTGTATAAGGAGACGACAAAAAAAAAAGGAACCCCTATTCCAGTTAAATAAATACAAATGAAAAAAAAAATCGAATTTTCATCTAATTTAATAATTTTCTCTTTTATTTAGAACTTGATAGACACAAAAGACTGACATTATAAAATGCACAGTTCTGCCTCTAGAGTTAAAACAACCGCAAAAGTCTCAATTTCCACTCATGAAAAACAATGTATATTGGTAAATGTATATTTTGTGTTTAAATCTTTGTTTCTACAAAACATTATTAATCAAAAGAAATTATTAACTGTATATTAAAAATCAGTAATATTATTGATAATAGCAGTAGTAGTGTAACAGATTTTTTAGGATGAAAATTCTAAATAATGTATATAATTTTAATTATATAATTTATATAAAATGTTTAAGTATATTTCTGAATATTGTAGATTAAAGGGTGAATTCATCATCATTTACGAAATGCGCTTACATTAATCTTCAAAACACAAATTGAGATATTTTTACTACACCCAGAAAGATTTTGGTCCATGCACAAGTAAGCTAAACCTTCATAATTAAAAATAACTAAATAAATAAATGTTCAAAATTTTGGTTACATAAACTTTCAATGGAGGGAGCAAATAAAATATGTTCATTATATAGTCCTCACGTCTCTTAAGAATTAAACCGCTCGATTCATAAAGATTGATTTTACAATGTCTTCATAAGCAAATGATTTTACAATGTCTTTTTGAATCAAAGCTTTGGTTTCATGGAATTTCAATTTTGGGACAGAAATCGGTCAGGTTTTTCATAAAAAATTTCTTGTACCTTTTTGTTCTGAAGATAAATGAAAGTCTTATGGGTTCGGAAAGATGTGACGGTGTGTAACTGATGCCAATTTTATTTTTTAGATGAACGGTCCCTTTAAGAATGGACACTTGGTTTTTGAAGTTTTTTTACATGCATTTTGCAATGTTAAAGTTCACAATTAAATTACGGAAATTATGAAAAGTCTTAGTACTCACATGGGGAAGTCGTGGCCTAATGGTTAGAGAGTCGGACTCGTAACCCAAAGGTTGCGAGTTCGAGTCTCAGGTCCGGCAGGAATTGTAGGTGGGGGGAGTGAATGTACGGCGCTCTCTCCCACCTTCAATACCACGACTGAGGTGCCGAACCCCCAGCTGCTCCCCAGGCGCCGCAGCAAAAATGGCTGCCCACTGCTCCGGGTGTGTGTGCACTTAGGATGGGTTAAATGCGGAGCACTACTTCCTAGTATGGGTAACCATACTTGGCCACATGTCACGTTACTTTTTCACATGCTGTGACAGCCGCTTTCTGTCCGTGTGCTTCGGATGTGTGCTCTCAGAAAACCGTATCGCAGAAGTTTAAACTCATATGGTTTAAACCGCATGATTTCAGAGCGATAAACATGATAATCAGAACCATAACAGATGTTTTTAGCAGGTCCGAGCTGTAATGGCGCAGCTCTATTCTGTAAAAGAGGGCGGGGAGCAGCAGCTCATTTGCATTTAAAGAGACAGGCCGGAAAAACAGCGCGTTTCTGCTTCCACTCAAAATAGGCATTTTCAAAATGTTATAATAAATGGTCTGTGGAGTATTTTGAACTGAAAATTCACAGACACATTCTGGGGACACCAGAGACATATATTGGATATTGTAAAAAGGGGCATAATATAAACCTACAATCTTTCAGATGGCAGCCTGGATCATAAACCAATATGTTGAGTGATGGTCATCTAACACTAGCGTACCTGCCAGGGTGTTCTGCTCCAGACTGGCAGCCTCAGACGTCTGGGATTGGATCAGTGCTGGTGGCTGGACAGGGATGTGCTGCTTCTGGATACAGCGGAGTAACGCATCCTGCAGACCCGGCTGGTGCAGCAGCAGGTTGAGAAGATGAGCGGCAGTGACGCTGTCGAAGGGTTTGGTGCTGGTGCTGAGGTCCAGAGCGACCTGAAACAAAGACTGCAGCCTCTCCGGCTCCTACACAGAGGAGGACATGCATTCATATTAATTTGAACATTGCTCAGTAGTAGTCTCGGACTCTTACTTTCACACTGACCTGGAGTCGCACTGCTGTGGGGGGCAGCTTTTGTAAGAGGTTGCAGGCGAGCTGTTTGACTTCAAGAAAGTTGCTTGCAAGACAGTACAGCACAGCTTGAGCATGAGAAAAGCTCACTGACTCTCCAAGAGCAAAACCACAGCCTGAAAAAAAAAAAAAAGAGGTGAACAGATGATTTGAAGTATAATGCGCTTTAGTGGCGCAGCTCTATTCTGTAAAAGAGGGCGGGGAGCAGCAGCTCATTTGCATTTAAAGAGACGGGCCGGAAAAACATTTTCAAAATGTTATAATAAATGGTCTGTGGAGTATTTTGAACTGAAAATTCACAGACACATTCTGGGGACACCAGAGACATATATTGGATATTGTAAAAAGGGGCATAATATAAACCTACAATCTTTCAGATGATGGCAGCCTGGATCATAAACCAATATGTTGAGTGATGGTCATCTAACACTAGCGTACCTGCCAGGGTGTTCTGCTCCAGACTGGCAGCCTCAGACGTCTGGGACTGGATCAGTGCTGGTGGCTGGACAGGGATGTGCTGCTTCTGGATACAGCGGAGTAACGCATCCTGCAGACCCGGCTGGTGCAGCAGCAGGTTGAGAAGATGAGCGGCAGTGACGCTGTCGAAGGGTTTGGTGCTGGTGCTGAGGTCCAGAGCGACCTGAAACAAAGACTGCAGCCTCTCCGGCTCCTACACAGAGGAGGACATGCATTCATATTAATTTGAACATTGCTCAGTAGTAGTCTCGGACTCTTACTTTCACACTGACCTGGAGTCGCACTGCTGCGGGGGGCAGCTTTTGTAAGAGGTTGCAGGCGAGCTGTTTGACTTCAAGAAAGTTGCTTGCAAGACAGTACAGCACAGCTTGAGCATGAGAAAAGCTCACTGACTCTCCAAGAGCAAAACCACAGCCTGAAAAAAAAAAAAAAGAGGTGAACAGATGATTTGAAGTATAATGAGGTGACTAGTGAAGTAGTGAATGTCTTCGAGAGCAGGGTGGCTGACGGCTGATATAAAGGCGATAAAGGCTTATATGATACCATGCATATTAAAGATAGTAAATAACACATGGATAACAACTTCTGCAATATACTGTAACAATATTTATTTTACATAATATGTACTAAAATTATTATAAATAATTAGGGGAAAAAATAATTTTAACTTGATGTAAAACAGATTTTTATTTTACCAATAATTAAAAACAGCAATAAATTTAAAGGAATGGCATACTGTATATCGACCAGTAATATTAGTTTTGGCAATATATCACTTAAGATGAAATCCTTGTGCAAGTAAAAGTTATAAAAATACCTGTGTTAAAGGTGAAATGCTCAGCGATCAGCCCCAGCAGGTGTAGAGCCATCAGACACCTGGAGAATGAGGCTCCTGGGTGAAACACCTGGAATAGAGTCTCGCAGAACCAGCACAGAAACTCCTGATAAGAGAGAAAAAATATTTTCAGTTTAAAGGGGTCATGAACGGAGAAACCAAAATTCCCTTGATCATTTGATATATAAGAGGACAGTGTGCTATAAAAACATCCTGTAAGTTTCAGAACTCAAAACTGTCTCATTAGTCTAAAAACAGCTTATATTTAAGCCAACCTGCCAAAACGACAGCTTGTGGAATGTTCTACTTTATGGCATAACAGTGTGGCTAAACACTGCCTCTGCAGAAGATGATCAACGCCTGCTTCTGCATCGCTGCCTGTTTAGCCCCGCCCACCGATTCACGCATGTAGTGTAAATAAAGAGAGGGGCAAGCGCAGGTCTACGCAGAAACCAAACGATAAACTTTTTTTGATTCACTTTATTTATAATGAAGTGCCAGACCACGTCAGTAAGAACTTTGTCCTTTGTTCACTTAATTTTACCACAGATTCGTTTTGAAACCAGGCTCAATTCAACACAGGATTTTAAGAAAGATTGAAACTAAAAGACGATGCTGTGCTGACTATACTGGATCCAACAGTAATGTCGCAAACAAACTAATCAACAGTCGCATGGCTTCAAAGTCACTAACATGAAGCTTCAAACTTATTTACCAACTTGAGTTAGAATAGTTTGCAAGAGTAAACTAGTGAGTAAATGAGTTTTCCTGTTCAGCGTGATGATGTTTAATTAATGTCCCCAACTAACTCATGAAAAGAAAAAAAAAAACACGTGGAGAATTACCAATGTATTCATCACAACTAACAGAACTCCTGCTAATGGAAAAACACATTTTTCTTCTGTTATCTTAATGTTTATTGCTTCATGTGTGAGGCACATCACTCAATGTCTGTGTAATCAGAGGACTCTTATCTCTCGGTTTCTGATGTTCCTTGGCACTCCTTTAGCTAGATTTTACATGTGACTTTTTGGTTTAGTCAGTTATCTAATCAATTTCAAAAGCAAAAATGTCTATTGCGTAAATACATTCACGCAAAGATTTAGAACCAATGAATCTCCTATCCATGAAGTGTATCTTACAGCTCAGTTAGTATCACAATTTTACCTGGTACATGTTGAAGACTTGCTGGTCTTTGTGGTTGTGATGCTGGTCCAGTTTCTTTTGCAGCAGCTGAGCGCCGTCCTTCATCCTACACAGGAGCTGACAACACAACAAAACAGACACGAGCCAATCAGAACACGCCTCCAATGTCCTCTGGCCAATCAAAGCTTGAGCCATCATCGCTTCCTACCTTCTTTAACAGACTGACAGTTTGCTGTCTGACTCCTGGTGACTGACTGTTTAGATTAAAGGGCAGGAAGTGGCGGATCAGCTCTATTTCCTGTCTGGACAGAGTTTCTGTGCTGCGATGGCTCTCACATAGCAAACCCAGAGCATCCATTCGCACCTGAAGTTACATAAACAGCCTTCAATTCTCTTTGTGTTATAGAAATGACACAGTTTAGCATGTCAGACATGAACTATTAAAGGTACAGTAAAATATAATGCGGCTTCAGTTTACCTGATCGTGTTTGTGCACCAGAGCCTGTCGCATTAGTGGGAGCGGCACCAGGCCACCCCACAATTCCTCCTCCACAGACTTGAGAACACCCTGAGACCGGGCGGCACGCAGACACGTCATCAAAGCCCCCAATGCACCTCTGCTGCCAGCTGACCCTGAGGAACAAACACTTAGCACTTACAAAAAAAACAAGCAGTTTTATACAATATTCCTAATTCCTCAAAATCCTCATTTAAATTCAATAACACTGTTTTTGAAAAATATTCCACACTTAAATACCCTAAAATTATTTATACACGTATATACACAAATGAATACTGCAAAGATTTAAAAATGCAAAAATAATCATAATAATAAAATTAAATAAAAAAATATCCATGATTACAATTTCTGTTTCAATCGCTGAGCATCATTATTCTTCAAGTAAAATGTAGTATCAATATTAACACAAATTATAAATTATGTATAGCTATTTTGATGATAAAAAAACTATTTTTTTTTTTATTTCTTGAGTTCATTTTGTGATAAGTAGTGTTTTTCCAGACGTATCCCTGAGACCGGGCGGCACGCAGACACGTCATCAAAGCCCCCAACGCACCTCTGCTGCCAGCTGACCCTGAGGAACAAACACTTAGCACTTACAAAAAAAACAAGCAGTTTTATACAATATTCCTAATTCCTCAAAATCCTCATTTAAATTCAATAACACTGTTTTTGAAAAATATTCCACACTCAAATACCCTAAAATTATTTATACACGTATATACACAAATGAATACTGCAAAGATTTAAAAATGCAAAAATAATCATAATAATAAAATTAAATAAAAAAATATCCATGATTACAATTTCTGTTTCAATCGCTGAGCATCATTATTCTTCAAGTAAAATGTAGTATCAATATTAACACAAATTATAAATTATGTATAGCTATTTTGATGATAAAAAAACTATTTTTTTTTTATTTCTTGAGTTCATTTTGTGATAAGTAGTGTTTTTCCAGACGTATTCCAGAAGTATTTATTTTTTCCTGTTTTTGGTTTCAATGTATAAATACATTGTGTGTGTGTGTGTATGTATGTACGTACAGCGGGTAAAATAAATATTGAACACATCACCATTTTTCTCAGTAAATATACTGACTTGCTTCTCAAGAAACACTGCTATTATTATAATGGCGAAAACATTTCTGCTGCCTAATATTTTTGGGAATATATATACATATACTATAAAATTCTGTTTAAAGAAAAACTCTTACTGCGCCCAATCTTTCAGTACTGTATATACACAAGTCTCTTACCCTCAGTGCAAGCTGGCATCTCCTGCAGGGCTTGTACCATGTGGCTAAGGCTGGAGGGGTTGCAGCGTAGCAGTTTGGGCAGGAAGTAGTCCAGTATATAAGTGGTTTGATCCAATCGGGCTGTGCACAGTACCTGCAGCAGAGGCCTCACCCAAACTTCATGCCACCCATCTATCCAGGCATCCCCATCCCTAAACCGTGCACACAACTGGGCCTTATGGCTGACAAACAGCTTCTCCAGAAGGTCGCTGGCATATGGTGCCATCGTCTGATCCCCCATCAGATCCAGCAGCCTGGATGGCAGTCCCCCATCAAGCTTGAGTAAATACTCTGCTCCTAAATGCTCCACCAGGCAGCCCAGTGTGCCGTACTTCCCTTTCATATGCCACTCCAGCGTTAGAAGGTCCTGGGTGAGCTGGGTGATGTAAGGGTCACCGGTGGGATCGGACTTGTGGCCACTGCAGTGCTGGTGGAGCGTGAGGAGGTTCTGGAACATGGAGCACGTCTGGTGTCGAACCCCGTCCAGCGGGTGCTCCCAGTGGGCGTAGATGTGCTGGTGAAGGCGTACGATTAGAGAAGAGCCTCCGATTAGAGACGAGCGAAGGAGAGGGGGATGTGTGTCCACCTGGACGCAGTCAACCGCAGCTCCACTCCAAAGTGTCAAAACCCGAGCCACTACCATCACCGTACTGGACTCCTTCACTCTGAGAGAGAGATTCATGACAAAGAGCAGTTCAAATGGAAATCCAGGCTGATCAACTTCAAAATGAACTAAGCTCAGCAGTACAATGTGAATTAGGGGATGAATTTAGTGATGCAACCTAACGGAGTTAAAAAAAAAAAAAGAGAGAGATTGTATTTTTACTCTTTCATTTTGCTTTCTCACAACTGAAATTACAAGATTAATCATTATTTGCTACTGACATTCATTTTTACCAAAAACAAATGTGAAGAGAAAAATACTACTTAAAATATGTTCATCTTTTTTGTCCTTTTAACATAAAAATGGTTGATAGAAAAAGAGTGTTTTTAGCGTTTTTAAAATGGTTTTTATTGTGCCTTTCCAGGGGGTTCTCATTTCCTGTCACTTTTAGCTTGCTCTGTAAATATTCACAATATTTACTGTAATGCAGCTTCAGAAATATTATTGTGGAAAAACTTTCAGCAAATAAATGACGACTATACACTACCGTTTCTCAGTATTTTGTTGAAATTCTATTAATATTTTCAATACTTTCAACTTTCAGCATTTTGGAATGATTTCTGAAGGATCATGTGACACTGAAAACTGGAGTAATGATGCTTTCTAAAACATGTTTAATTTTAAAAGTAGTATATTGTAGTATATTGACTGATTTGTTGCACTTCCAACCTTGTAAGCATGTAACAATTATGACAACATAAAGCACTGACAAATAAGCCTGGTGTAAACATTAATATGTAAGTCAGTAACAAATCGCACAAACTAAAGTAGATTGCAGAAATATAAAAACAAATCTGTTGCTTTATCACACTACTTTAGGTAATTCAAAGTCACTGTAATAAACATGTGGACTGCACTAAACACTGTCTCTTAACTTTAGACCAGTGGTTCTCAAACTTTTTTGGTCACGCCCCCCTTTAAACCTATAAAAAAATCTTTCCCGAATCCCCATCCCACCTCAGACTACCAAATAATTTCACTAAACATTGTGAAAAATCAATGCTTTTTTAATTTAAAAAACCTACAGGGAAAAAAAACACCTGCATCACTTGAAACATTGAAAAATAGAATAGAGAGAATAACTGTTATTATTATTATTCTCTCTCTTATTTATTTATTTTTTGTGGGTTTCATGCTGTCCGCTAAGGCATAGGACACACACAAGCTTTCCTCCTCACCAACGACATTAAACACCGTGTCTACACCGGACGCGAGCGGCAAAATACAGTAGAACAATTATAATCAGTGGCACGGTGTACACTGGATGTGAAGCAACACGACAAAACCCGACATTAAACTGATGCCTCGTTCCATTTATGACATACTGACACAAAGTTAAAATGATTTGCAACAGTCACTTTGTCACGTCCAGTGTAGAGTTGTTGCGGCACACGACGCACAACTGTAGCGTCCGGTATAGACACGGTGAGTGAAGCCAAGCGCAAGATATGCCTCGTCATATTTTCTGCATTTAGCTTTTAAATGACCAGCACCTGCCTGGGTCTGTGCGACTTTATCTATGGCTTTTCTCTTAACTTTCACAAACTGATCCATCTCCCATTCTAAGTTACATCCTTTGGCTGTTTACAGTTTTATTTCTTATCTTTTTCTGCTGATGGCCCACTCTCGACTTGAAGCAGCGCTGCTTAGACCGATGGGTGTGTGTCATCAAAGTACTGAGAGAGCTATAAGAGAGCAGACGTCTCCTTATGCTTTCTCTCACCGTACTTTGAGGTCATACACCGATCGCTCTTCAAGTCGAACACACCTCTTTACTCTCGCGTGTCACATGACCGAGCGTAATCGCAGCCTCTGCGATTGAAAAATCGTGTTTTTTTTTCATATCGCGATACTATCGCAAATGCAATTAATCATTCAGCCCTATTGTACACAGAAGCAGCTCTGGGCTGATGACGTATGAGGTCAGTGTTGCGCATGCGCCGCTCAGAAGTGACGAACGCGGAAGTGCAGTGGACAGATCAAAACAAAATAACAGTCACGAATTAGAAGTACAAAACGAGGATTTGTAAAGAAGAATGTCAGAGGATTTCGATATAAGCCAAGAGGAGACTGGTCTTCCTTTGCTAAAGTAAGGGAACTTTGCTTCCTTTGCTCCTGTTAACAAACATTGGTTTTCACGAGACTCACCGGCGCATGCGCAACACTGACCTCATACGTCATGCTCCCGGAGCTGCTTCCGTGTACAACTGTTGGCGCAAGCTACATTTAAAGTGATTATTACATTTTGAATATGGATATTTTTCTTACAAAAATGCATCGATTTGCTGCAGGAGGCCTTTGTTCACTCCCCGAAGTCGTGTGAGACACTTTTTTTTATGGATGGGTGCTTTTTATTTAACTTCTTTTGGACTGATGCACTGCAACACCCGCTGAAATTTAAAGTAGTAATTTGAGTTCCGGTTCATTTTTGTGAAGTGCTCCTGTTCAGAGACCGAGACGGCAGAATGCGCATTCTGTATGTTTTCTAAAAAAGCAACGTTTGCTGATATTGTGAGTGCACAAATAAAAGTAGACCCTTTGTGGTTCCAAATGATGTATTACTCTTACCTTTATAAGCAAAAATTATGATGTATTTTAAGTTAAAAGGTATAATATTTCTTTAGGCTGTAGCAAGTGCCAGTTATTTAATTTTGCAAACAAATCCCTCGTTCAGAAAACCCACTGACTTGTCAACTGTTAAAATCGGTAGTTCTGCATGTCCTTTGTGTGAATGCATTTGGTATCCTTTAGTACCTTGTATCTAGAGACAGGAGCACTTCAGGTATGAGCAGCAGCAGTTTCTCGGCCTGTGGACCAAGAGTCTTTCCTCTCCAGCTGAGCATAGCCAGAGCTCCATGACTCAAATACAGAGCCACAGCTGCAGGCCTGCCTCTCTCATACAGACCTGCGCAGCTCTGTCTCAGCCACTGAGGGGCGATGCTGCTTGCATCCACTGAACACTGCAGAAGACCCGCAACCTAGAAACACGCTTCACACTTAAAAGCACTTCCACAGTCAGGAATGGATTAAAATGCAGCTCAAGTTAAGACAGAGTACAGAATAAGCTTCTTGCTTCTCACTTACTATGACAGGTACATCATCTCCATTGCCAATAATAGATCTAATGAGCAAAACAACGGCCATCCCAGCAGTGCTCTGGACCGTCTGAACAAACTCTTCTAGATGGGAAAAGAACTTCAGTATAATACAAAAATGTACAGAAATAAATACAATATATATATTAAAAAAAAAGTGTAAATAAATACAAAAACACTCAATGTCAAGTTGCATATGAAGAATATAGGGGTCTTTGCCTTACCATCAGTCAAGATACATGTATAGCAGTTGAGTAGTCCACTGAGAGCCTGATGTAGATCAGATTGGTCATCTGAAGCTGAAAGCACTACAGTAGTGATGGGTTCCTGAGACCTCTGAACCACCAGCATTGAGGCCTTCACCGCTGCCAGACACGACTGCATCAGCTGAGCCTGGGCCACATGACGACCAGACAAACCCCTGAACAACAAATCAACAACAACAAACCATGCTAGAGACATTTTAAGAATTCTGGGTAACAGGAACAAGATTTCATCCATGCAACTTTTTCTTCCATGCATACAGCACATTATACAGTACAATAGGGAAAACTTTACCTGTTCTGCTCCACATAATAATTGAATGTCCTTTGGAAGAACTGGAGCACTATGAGATTTAAAAATAATAATAATAAACATCAGTGACAGAACTTGTAAAAGAGCAGAGAAAACCAAAAGATACAGCATTAAATTATTTAACTTGTATACTAACCTTCCGTTAGCAAACGGTGAACACATTTCTCACCTGTAAAACAAACAGAACAATTGAAAAAAAAAAAATGTCAAACTGCTTGGGGTTGGAAAAAAGTGTGTTATGCACACGAAGTCTCCCTTTCTAAACAAAAAAATTCTGAAAAAAACAGTAATACTGTGAAATATTATTACAATTGAAAACAACCGTTTTGTATTTGAATATACTTTAAAATGTAATTTATTCCTGTGATGCAAAGCTGAATTTCCAGCATCATTGCTCCAGTCTTCAGAGTCACGTGATCCTTCAGAAATCATTCTGATATGCTGATTTGACGCACAAGAAACATTTCTTATACCATCAACGTTGAAAACAGTTGTGCTGCCTAACATTTTTCTGGAAAATGTTTTTTTTTTTTTTTGATAAATAGAAAATTTAAAAGCACAACTTTTATTTTTATTTAAAGTAGAAATATTTTGCAGCATTATAACTGCATTTAGTTTCCATTTTTAATGCATCCTTGCTGAATAAAAGTATTAATTTCTTCTTTTTTTTTAACAACAACTTACTGATTCCAATCCAATCTTATAAAATTACATCACTTAAACATACCGATTTTAAAGCCATCCAGACAGGAAGTGATGCTATCTGTTAAGTGTGAGCAGTGATCTGTGCTCGTAGAGGAGAGACAAGAAGACAGGCTCTCAGACAGACATCCCACCGTCTGCTCCTGCAGCCAATCCGGGCCACTTCCTAGTGCACTGATAAGACAAGAAAAAGTTGATGCCAATGTGTTGAACAAAGCACACAGAAGTCAATCATTTTCAAATAAGAGTTATTGATTTTCCAGTAGCATGAGTGACAGAGAAATGTGGGAACCTTGCTACGGCTCTCTTAAGCGGGTTCTTAGCTGGCAGTGTGGTAAACAGGAACGCAAGTGTGCTCATGCAAGCCTGCAGCAAAGGACCCATAGTGCACTCATCCTCTCTCAACTGCTCCAACAGGACGCCTGCCTGCAGTCAACATACAAACCAATGAAGGTCTGTGCGATTACAGTACAGTACATTCAGCATAACTCAGTGTAGATATTTAAGATGAATGTGATGCAGACCAACCTTAGAGATGAGCTGGATCTGCTCAACCGGGTCAGAGGACAGTAAGCTGTCCTTCAGAACCCGAGCTAGCTCTGTAGATCTACTATCCCCCTCCACAGACAGGGAATCTGAAAGAAAGCATGAGATATTACAGGTAACGTATGCACACCACTAAAAGTTGATTTCTGTCACTCACCTGTCAGGCTCTTCAGCTTGACATCATCCAAAGCTACAGCCTCCACTTTAGGTGCTTTCTTCTTCACAACCATGACTAGATCTGAGACATAACAACAGCTGCAGATGTGTATCATAAATTCATTGTATAATTACTTACAACGATCATACAACAAGTGCTGAAGATCAAGTTATAAGAGCTCCGGCTCAACCTAACGTTACCTAGTGCTAGTCACATATATATATATATATATATATATATATATATATATATATATTACATTCTCCTCCACACCGAACACCCCGTTCTACTACACATTCAAAACATGAAAATATATTGTCATACCTTTGTAACAAAGCAGGTAACGGGGAAAAGGTTCAACGCTGCATGTAGAAATAAGTATTTCCACAGCAACATAACATACACGTGTAACGCGTCAATTCCGGAGTCGCGCTGGAGGTCCGCCCACAGCACAAAGATGATTGGTTCACGCAGAATGCTTCTGATGCGTGATTGGTCCACGATAAAGTCAATCAGACATGACATCCCCATGCCCGCCCACTTCCACAGGCCGATGCTGGAGTGAAAACTTTGTGCTTAGAAAACGGTCGGTCTTTATAATTAGGTCATTAGTGCAATAACGACTAAGACAAGACGGAATATTATTTTTATTATGCTGTGAAACCAGTTCCATCTTCAGCACTGTAACACTGATTGCCGGGTAAGGATCAAATCTTTAACTATTAACAAAAAAAAAGGGAATACGATATTAAAGCATTGACGTTTCTATTTCTACTTATTCAGATATGAAAGTTCTATATTATATATTTAGATGAAAATAGATTCTAAAATTAAATGTAGCCTATATTATGCACTTGGTTGATTGTTTTAACAGTGATTTTGAAAATGAAAAGCTTAATATACTCAATATGTTTGAAATACACTATTTATTGATTTGAGTTCATATTAAATAATTATATTCTGTTCTGTTCTATTGATTTTCATGAATACAACTCCAGTAATTATACCTATTGCACCATCATTCTGTCACTAACTGCAGCTAAATAGTATATATATAGACAGTTAACATATAACATACCCATAGACTGTTTTTGGTTAGGTTAAATGTGTATGTACTATATATAATGTTATGTTGAATCACTGTATATTTGATCTGTGTTATGTAGTGAAACTGACAGAACATTTAATTGAGCCAGAACCAGGATCACTGACTCCTGAGATGGAAATCCACACCTGGTCTCAACAGTGAAATTCACACCTTATGCATTATATGTGTATCATATTGGATCTACTTTTCATGGAAAGGAGCGTTTTCCTCACATACTGCAGTATATATTACATTCCTGATCTCTCATGTGCAAATCCTTGTATTCTAGATCTACGTAATGACCCTGTTATCCACTTTGGCTCACTTTCCCTATATTTCCTCTTAAGAAGTTAGTTCCACAGTAAAACATGTTGTTTTTATCCACATTGGTTAAGATTCAAACCCTCAGTCTTATTTATCAGGACAGCTTAATTGAGCTCAGCACATGTTTACACACTCTCTGTGCCCGTGCCAGTGCTATAATAAGAGCTTGTTATAGCCAAGAGTTTTAGAGAAGTAGTAGTGAAATGTGTTCACTCACACATTGCTGTTGTGCTTTCCCACACCTGCTTTACATCAGTTGACACATGTTTTTCATAATTAGAATTGTATGCTGGAAAAGTGTGATGATGGTGCATCAGTGCTGGCTGGTAGGGTTTGTTTTTGTAGTGGTGGTCAGTTTGTCCAGGGATCTGCGTCCCTGGCCCTCAAACACTTACTTTTGCCATTCGAGACCAAGAATGTTTCACTGCCTCTCTTTCCATCCAATACAGTTTCTTTCCAACTGATTAAAGTTCAAATTTATCTCAGATGTCATACAGCTATATGAAAATAGCAGTTAATATTGACAGCTGGCATACACCTAATCAGAATTCTGTATCAAATAAACATCCAAATCAGAATATTCACTGTCCATTTACATCTGTGCGTGTCCAAACAAATGTAATTATGAGTTCTGTGAAACATGGGAAGCTGTGAAAACCCAAATAGACAGATTATTTTGTCCAAATGTTAAAGGGGTCATAAGATGCGATTTCAACTCTGGAGTGTTACAAGCTCTTGGTGCATAAAGAAGATCTGTAAAGTTGCAAAGACTAAAGTCTCAAATCCAAAGAGATATTCTTTATAAAAGTTAAGAGTCAGCCACGCCTACCTAAAACGGCTCGTTCTAACACGCCCCCACATGTCTATGTCACTGTGTGGGAAGATTTGCATAAAGCCGCCCAAATGTTCACGCAAAGAAAGAAGGCGTAACTTTTATTCTCGATGTTGCCGCCGCTGCCATGTCGTGGAGTCACTGTGTGTTTCGTTGTGAAAGTGAAACTACTTTGTTTGGCCTCCCAAAAGAGGACACAACTAGAAATCAGTGGTTAAGTTGTATTTACAACACTGTTCCAGAACAGTTCAACTCAAATATTCAGATGTGTGCTGCGCATTTTATGGAGGATGGATGAGGACTGTTTCCTGAACCAGTAGCCTAATGCGTCTGTGGCACAAAGGCTGTTTCTATAAAGTGGGGCAGTTCCAAATTTGCAAGGACAGTCTGGCGTAAGTACGTTTTTTATATTTAAATAATTTGCCAATGATGATTCAAACGCGAGTTTTGAGCAGTGTAGAGTAGCGCTTGTTGTTTGTTGTTTCTCGATTACAAATGCAGACATGGTTTTATGTTTGCGCAGCGCGATACGCAACGCGATGTGTTAAAAGACAGTATAAGTCATTATAATCAGTAATTATGTCCCCACTGGATGCAACAAATGCCTCGTTTGTAATGGGTTTTATTGGTTTTGTCTCATCTATTGATGTCCGGATCGCGAACGAATCGTTCTATTTAACCCGATTTTCTTAGTGAACCAGTCGAGCCAGTTCACCAAATCGAACTGAATCGTTTGAAACGGTTTGTGTCTCCAGTACGCACTAATCCACAAATTACTTAAAGTTATTCGGTTTATAAACGTGACTAACACTCCCTCTGACGTGAAATAAACCAATATCCCGAGTTATTCAGTGTAGCGTCTCGACCAATCTGACACACTAATTTTAATTTGATTTAACAAATCAATTATTCATTAGGTTAACAAATCGTCACAGTCCCCTCACTCAATTAACTGGATGCCAGGATGTCTGCTGAACACCAGGCGCTCTGGTCACCATGACAACTAATCATGATATCACTGGTTTTATGACCCCCCAGGAATGTGAGAAGGATAGCCCACTCTTGAGCTTTATAAAAATCGACGCGTTTCAGAAAGGCGGGGCATAGAGGAGAAACAATAATGTACATTATGTGGAAAATAATGTGTTTTTAGAAACTTAAACCGCATAAACACATTGCATTACACCAAATACACAACATAATGTTCTTTTTAGCAACGTCATATGACCCCTTTAAAAGAATTCAATTTTGCAACTCTTGATGATGATTATTTTGAGGTGTCAGTCTGTATTTATCATGGATCGAAGATGAATCACTGTTGAATTTTGTTTTGATATTGCAAATTAAATTAATGTTGATATTGCAATGTTGTTTCAACATCTTTTTGATATGGGCAAATTCATTTCAATGTTGATTTATTGGTATAAGTATTTATTTGAATTCTAAGTACTTTTTACAACCATTAAACATTGTTTCAATATTGTTCCAATGTTTTTTCACCATTGAAACAGCAACTGATATTTTTTTTACATTTGAAATTTGGTCACACACCCACTTGTTTGTTTGGCCAATAAGTTTCCGAAAGACCATGTCATGAGACCAATTTTGGCACTTCCATGACATTTTTCTTGTACTACAATGTTTCAGTAAAAAATGCATGTAAAGAATTACGTATGTGGATACATGCTTAAACTATTTTTAAATGGATGTTTATGGGTGTTATTTTTAACGGATGTGACTCAACGTCATGGATCAAGGTTTAATCAGTTGAATTTTGTTTCGATTTTGCAAAAGGAAACAACATTCATTGATATTGCAACATTGTTTAAACATCTTCATTTTCAACTTAAGCGAACAAAAATTGATTGATTGTTGATTTTTGATTAACTTTTTTTTACCACATTAAGTATTGTTTCAATGTTTTTCAGTGCTGAAAAAAAAATATTATCTTAACCACAATTTCAATGTTGAAATATGGCTGGTTGGTCAAAAGCATGGTTGCTTAGAGCAAAGATGTATATCAAATATCATGAAGAAGGCTGAAAAATATCAAGATAATTGTTTTGCTGTATATCACATCTGATTCATAGTTTATCTTCTTGAGTGGTCTTCTACTACAAGCTCTGTGTGCCTCATGTTGTGTGATGTGGCAGGGCCTGAGGGGTGACGGCATGGCGGAGGGCAATGAAAGCGCAGGCGGGGAGTGGAAAGAGAAATGCATGGCCCTCGAGGCCCTGCTCTTCAAGTTCCGTGGACAGATGAGCGTTATCCGAGAGCTCACGGCAGAAAAGGTCAGTCAAACGCACTACGTCTCGGTCCCTGAGTCCCTTCGCTCGGCTTACTGGTCTGCTCTCGGACTTTTAAAAATCATTACATGAGACCGCATGCTGAGCAAGTAAAACTCAACCTACCCCAGACATCTTTTATTAAAGTAATAACAAAACAGGCATATGATTTGTCTGTAACTGTCACCGCCCTGCTAATTCCCGTCTGTATTTATATTGCCGAGATACTCAATCGCAGGGAATTCTAGGAAAGGCAAAGAAGCCACCTATTAAAGTATTTGCTCATTTCCATGTTTGGTTTTCATTTCCACAAAAGATTGTGTGTGTGTGTGTATATGTATGCCATGGCCTATTTCTTTGGCCTATCTCGAGGGAGAGCAGATTAGAGGTTAATATAAACAGACGCCTGACCACAGGGCTCCAGACTGCTGCATTCTGGGATAGCAGAATCTTCTTTGAATTACAGACTCAGGATGTATCCGGGTTCTTTAAATGTCTTGCCCTTGGGGAGAGGTCAAGTTTAGGAAATGTATAGTCAGCTATTCTGATGATGCTCTTTCTTGAGCATTTTTAACGATTGGTGCCCCAAAGTATTTTGTAACTGAATCTCATACAGTTTTAAAGGGATAGTTCAGCCAAAAATGAAAATTCTGTCACCCGTAAGACCTTCGTTAATCTTCGGAACACAAATTAAGATATTTTTGATGAAATCTGAGCGCTTTCTGACCCTCCATAGACAGCAAGGGTCCTACCACGATCAAGGCACAAGGACAAAATAGTCCATGTGACATCAGGGGTTCAACTGTAATTTTACGAAGCTACGAGAATACTTTTTGTGTGCAAAAGAAAACAAAAATAACCAGTGTCAGTTGATTCACAACTCC